GTGGGTACGCCAGCGGCCGGGGAGGGCGCGGTCCGGGCCTCCCCCAGGGCTCCGCCCACGTATCCCCGAGCGTCCGACCCCCAGGTGCACCCTCCTTGGTCCACATGCCTGGAGCCCCTTGGTCGGATCTTCCTCAGTGCCAGCCTCCTTCCCCCCTTCTTCCTCTTGTCTTTGTGTGGGTTGTCAGTTCGTGAACCTCTGCTTCCTCGGCGTCTCCCGTCCCTGTCATCCCCAAAGAACCACGTGTGCAGCTGTCCATGTTCATTTTGCAGGGACTGCAAATGCCGTGGCCGGAGCTGTGAAATACAGTGAGAGCGCGGGAGGCTTCTACTACGTGGAAAGTGGCAAGTTGTTCTCTGTCACGAGAAACAGATTCATTCATTGGTAAGTGCCGTGTTGGCCACACCCTCCTGAAAGGTAGAGTTGTTCTGTGTTTTCGTACCAGTTCTCAAAGTGTGTTCTATCGAGCAGTAATGGACACTTAAGAGAAAGACTGTTTTCAGTTCATGACAGAATCAGAGCAGAATTTGAGACCTCTCTAGGGGAGGTACTACAGAGGCAGCAGGAGGGAATGTAATTTATGGGATAAAGCCCAGATGACCAGTTCTAAACTTGAAGCTATATGCTTTTATAGTGCTTCATAGCTTTCTTCATTTAAGAGATGTTTTGGCGTTTACATGTCAAGCATAGTGCTAGGTACTGGGATGAAATAGTGACCAAAACAAATGCTATTTTTATCACACAAGATGTTGTAACAGTGTAACATCAGATGTGGTCTCATAGGACAGTTTCATGAAGGAAAAATAAACTAATGACATGTGTATGCACACACAGATATTTAATCTTGCTCCAGAGGGAAAATATAAGAGCTGTAAGAAGTTGATGGGGGTAAGGGTGGCAGGTGGCATGGTGGTGAAGGGCACTGGACTCCCACATGGCTGACCATGGTTCAAGTCCCAGACCTGGTGGCTTACTTTTTCACTTTCCCTGTCTCTCTCTAGCTCTGTCCCTCTCTGGTCAAATTAAATAAATAAAGTTAAGAATTCTTTAAAAAAAAAAAGTTGATGGGAAGATGAGATATTAGTGGAGCAGGGAAGGGCTTTAAGGAAGTCACAGGTAACCTGAGATCTGAAGAATGAGAAGTTAGCCAGGCATGTGGGATAGGGGAGAGAGCAGTGTAGCACACACGATCACCATATACAGAGGTCATGAAGAAGAAAGAGCATAGCAGTTTTAAAGAACTGACCAAAGGTCTGTATGGCTCACTTGCAGTGGGTAAAGCAACACTGTGATGTCAGAGATGCTTAGATAGAGAGGTGGGCATGACTCAGACCACGAGGGACCCCTTGGCCATTTCTTAACAATTTTTGGATTTTATGCTAGATACATTGAACAGTCATTGAAGGTTTTAAAGAGTTAAAATGATCAACACTGTGTCTGAAAAAGATCATTCTGTGGACCAGTAGGTAGGGTAGTGGTTAAGGCCCTGGAACCCACATGACTGACTTCTTGGTTCGTGTCCTGGTGACTTGAGAAGTGTACATGTCCCTGCATGCCCAAAATCTCAAGAGGAGAATGGAGGAGAAGGGATTGTGATGTAGCCATTTCCTCACACCCCCTTCAGGGGGAGTTGATTTCTCACTTTCCCTCTCCCTCCGTCTCTCTTTGGTGAACCCACACACTCCATGGCAAAATAAATAAATAAATAAAAAGATCGATGATCAGTCTACTTTGTGGAAAGTGGATTTGTATTAGATGAGTATCGTGCAAAACAGCTTGCTTTTATACTGGACCAAGAAAGAAATGTTGGTGGCTTAATTGTGGAAGTGGCTAAGAAAAGAGAAATAATCGTATTCAAAATACATTTAGAAGGTGGTGCTCTAGGATTTTATGATAAAATGATTGTGGGTCAGGGAGTGGTAAGGGGAAAGGAGGAAACAAGGACAGCTGCCTGGTTTCTCGTGTGACTATGGGGGAGGGTTGCCATTTATTGAGATGCAGAAGATGCATTTTGAAGAGATGTGAGTAGTTCCAGACAATTCTAGAGCATAAGTACCCATGTAGCAGCCCTTTGGGAATAGCAAGCAGGTATTGAAATCTACAGGTTTGAGGCTGAGAAGAGAAATAAATCTCACTTATTTAGAAAATATTTTTGCATGCCTGTTATGTTTCAGTCAATATTTAAAGACTAGCGATGTAGTAAGAGAAAAAATACACAGTTTCTGTTCTCCTGGAGGGAGACACTCAATAAACATCCGTAACCAAAAATACCCAAGTCAATACATTAGGTTGTTGGGAAAGTCATGTGTTTTTCTATGTTTTTCTCTGTAAAACATGTAAACTCCTGATGAGTTTGTCAGGTGATTAAGTGGAATAGAAAACAGGGAAGCAAGGAAAGGGAGATATTTACAGAAGTTGTTATTTTATACAGGAAGGTCAGACAAGACCCAGTGATAAGCTGACATTTGAGCAGAGAAAGTACAGAATATCTGGGGGACAAACCTTTCAGGAGAGCATTTCAAGAAAAAGGAACAAAAATAAAAAATAACACAGAAACAGATGCTTTCTTCGTTTGTTCCAAGAATAACAAGAGGCCAAGAGTCTGCAGGTGAGATGAACAAAAGATAGAAGGATGAAAGAGAGTGATCTATGATAGCATGTGCCTCTGAAGAATGTGTGCAGTGAGAAGAGAAGATGACCCAGGGTCACATAGGTCTGATGAATCTCTTATGTAGAGCTGACGTCAAGAAGAAGGAAGGGGAATGGCTGGGGAAGTAGGAGGTAAACTGGGGAAGGACAATCCCGGAGTAAAGAGAAGAGACGGTTTTAAGAAGAAAGGCATGATCCAGTGTGTTTAATTCTGCTGAAAGGCCCAAAGGGAGACAAAACTCCATTGGAATCGATAAATAACCTTGATCAGAAGAGGATATGGTGGGGACAAAAGCCATATTTAGTTTTTTTGTTTTGGTTTGTTTTTTTAGAATTATTCTATTTAACTTTATTTATTATTATTTTGTTTTTTTTCATAGAGAGAGAGGGAAAAGTGAGAAAGCAAGTCTCCAGGTCCAGTACTGAAAACATGGTCAGCCATATGGAAGTCCCCTACCCTTAACCACCATGCCACCTGCTGGCCCCCATATTTAGTAGTTTTAAGAGTAAGAGAGAGGCCAGCAGACGGCATGGTAGTGAAAGTGCTGGGCTACCACATGGCCAGCTGCGGTTCCAGTCCTAGACCTGATGGCTTGTTTTCTCACTTTCCTTTTCTCTTTGTCTCTCTGGTGAGCACATGAGTCCAACAGTAAAATTAAAAATAATAATAAATTAAATTTTTAAAAAAGAGTATAAAATAAGTGAGGAAAGAGAGAAAGCATGGCCATGAGGGGAATAGACAGAACATGGTAGCTAGAGTGGTAGGGGTGGGAGGTGGGAATAGCTGATAGAGTTGCTGAAGATTGTTTGTGAGCCAGTGGAAGACCTTGGATGAAGGAGAGATGAATGCAGGAGGGCTTACTAGAGAAAGTCAGAAATGGGACCAGCAGTTAGTACAATGGCTATGTCGCTGGACTCCCGTGTAGTCGACTGTGGTTCGCGTCCCAGACCCGGCAGCTTAAAACTCACGCCAGGCACATGTGCGTGCATGCCCAAGATCCTGAGAGGAGAATGGAGGAGAAGGGATTGCGGTGTGGCCATACCCCCTGGGGGATGATTTCTCACTTTCTGTCTCTGTGTCTCTCTCTTTCTGTCTGGCTAGCGCACGCACCTTGTAGCAAAAAGAAAGAAAGAAATTAGCCTTTAATTGCTGGAAAGAGACTTGCATTTTCAGAAAGGATACAGGTGATATGATAGATAGGATACTGGGAAATTAGGACATTTCCAGCATGGTGCTTTCCACAGTTCCAAAGCTACCACACAGCAGGGCTGCACCTGAAGTCTGCCGTGTGTCCTAACACAGTTCTGCCTTTGTTTAAGCCTGGTGTGTCCTGTCATTTCTTCTTCAGGAATATGACATACTGTGAATTATTCTTTGTCTGCTTTTAAGGTCTTTTTGTAAAGATTGATCGACTTCCTTTATAAAATTGTGTATATGTGTGTCACTGCTTTAAACTTTTATCCATTTTATTCTTTAACAGGGATAATCTATTTTAAAACCTCTAGCACTATGGGAAAAAAGTAGATTCATTTATAATATACATTTTTTTTTCTTGTCTTGGTTACGGATAAGGTGAAACAGCTGAGGCAAAAGCAGTCCAAACATATCAAAAGATTCCAATCCAGGAGTAGGGCCAGAGTTTCAGTAAATGAAGGATTCCTGATGGGATACTTTTAGGGTAAAATCTCTGCTATCATTGTGAAGGGAACAATTTTACAAAAAATACTTCAGAGGTCTACCAGATGGTGTAATGGTTATGTTGCTGGATTTGCATGTAGTCGACTGTGGTTTGAGTCCCAGATCCGGCGACTTAAAAGTCAGGTCAGGCACATGTGTGGGCATGCCCAAAATCCCAAGAGAGGAATGGAGAAGAAGGAATTGCAGTGCGGCCACCCCTGGGGGGTGATTTCTCATTTTCTGTCTCCCTGTCTCTTCAGTAAGCACAGGTGCCTGATAGCAAACAATCTCTCAAGAAAAAAAGAAGAAAGAAAGACTATTGGTTCAACTGCAATAACATGCATGGGTTGATGCTGCTACTTGGCAGGCTGAGGCCCCATGGGAGACCCACATTCAATTCTCAGCCTTCTTTTTTATTAAGGATTATTTATTTTTTAATTTATATTTATTTTTTCTAAGGATTATTTATTTGAGAACAGCAGATGGCATACTAGTTACATCACGGGGCTCCCACATGACTGACAACAGTTCGAGTCCTAGACCCAGCATCTTGAAACTCACACCAGACACATGTGTACACGTGCCCAAAATCCTGACAGGAGACTAGAAGAGAAAACATTGCAGCGTGGCCATCCCCCTTGAGGGTGATTTCTCGCTTTCTGTCTCTCTGGTGAGCACACACAACCTTCAGTGAAAAATATCTCTCTCTCTCTCTCTCTCTCTCTCTCTCTCTCTCCTTTTACCTTTTTTTTCTTTATTTTTTAATTTGACCAGAGAGAGAGAGAAAGGGAAAGTGACAAAGCAAACTGCCATGTTTGGGACTCAAAACACAGTGAGCCATGCGAGAATCCAGCATCTTTAACTACCACGCCACCTGCTGGCCGCATAAAAATCTCTCTTAAAAAAAAAGGGGGGAAAAAATTATTGGGGCCGGCAGGAAGTGTGGTGATTGGAGGCACTTGACTCCCACATGGCTGACCATGGTTAAGGTCCCGAACCAGGCGGCTCGCTCGCTTTCTCTCTCGTGCTCACTCGCAAGCTCTGTCCCGTTACAGTC